TTTCCTCATCCTCGAGACTGCCAAAAATGCATCTGCCCCGGTGGTTATGCCGGGAAGCGGTGCACTGAGAGAGTGAGCTAGGAATTAGATACAAACGGCATAGGTGCAAAAAGTTGGTGCAAAAAGTGTTTGCTTTAGCCATCATCAGGGTGTGGCGATACAATTAAAGCTTCGCATGATTGGACGAGACTTGAGAATACTGTCGGCCTTGGCCGTGATGAGCAAGAAGACTTTGAGACATGTCACTACTGGATTGAAGTGAGTTTTGTACCCTCAAAAAGTCAGCAGGTCATTACTTTGATCGTATGCTCACGTAAACTCCGAATAGCGGGAGCTCAGTGAAGGAGCGATCATTAATAACTCCTCCCTGAGTGTCCAGTAGTGACACTTCTCAGTCGGCCACTAGTTATAATTGCTCGTCTTTTGCAGTCTCCTGAAGGAACCGAAATCGAAGTGAAATTAGTGAATTTCACAAAAGGCCTTTCTGTTGACGGATGCAGTTATGCAGGTGTAGAGATCAAGACCAACAAGGACCAAACGCTCACTGGTTACAGGTACATTGCCTGTTGGAAAAAAATGTAGAACGTTTCGGCTACAGCTACAATATCGAAAACAAAAGATACGAATTGCGACTGAAACTGGCCAGTATTGTTCTTCGCGGAACAGTAGCCAAAATGACCGACACGATCGCCCTAAGAGTCATGCAGAAGCCTTAAAAAACAAAATGGATTTAAGATTCTGCTCACCTGACGCGGCTGGAACAATTCTTCGTTCTTACATAAACCGTGTCCCAATAATGACATATAACAGGATTGTCAAAACGACTACTGTCCTTGAATATCGACACGGTACTGCTTCATTATTTCATGTCTCGGAAAAACTCAGACTAACCTGAAGCACTTAGTCCCTGCGAACTCACCAAGACCTACGACTCCTACCACCACTACTACTACAACTACGACAACAACAAAACGACCTGTTCCATTTATAAACACAGGAACTGACTCTAAATGCGAGGACAACCATTCGTAGGAAACGTTTTCCTATCACTGATTCTTTGTCGAAAATTATCCAGAGATACTTTCAGGTGCCGCTCTCTTGTACCGAGTGGTTTCTGCAAGGGGACACTATCAGAGGCCACCAAGAAGAAAGTGTGTCCGAAGTCATGCGGTTTCTGTGATTCTTTGCACTGACTGCAATAAAGTTGCCGTGAATCGCTCTGATCAACATCACATCTTATTGTCAGTGCAGAGTGCATAGTCGCCTATTCAATCGTTCAATGACGTTTGACGGGTTGTCAAGGAGGTGGTAGAGTCTCCCTCTTTGCATCATTTATGCATAACTCCTCACCAACATAATTCAGCTTGTCAGGACAAGACCGGACGTAGGAAAGTGAAGTTCACATGGTTCCATGGTTTTGATCAAAGCTTTCAGTACGAATCAGGTGTTCCAAATCCCTCATACCACTCAGGACTGAGTAACAATCGCTAGATGGGTGGTCGTATTTGAGTGACTTCTGAGAGAAGAGTCGTGTTTGGCTCGCTCTTTACCAACATGGAGGGTTGCGAATGCATAGGAGAAGAGCTGAAACTGTATAACTATCTGGTATTGTATAACTACTCTTCTCCGGCCGCTGCTTGATGAAAGGGACTAGGACAACCTCGTAGGTGATTGGAAGGGGTCGAGAAACTCGAGAAAAAAGAAAAAAACGATCAGCGCCACGGCGTGCCTCCCAGCCATTTCGCTTTTGCAGATACGTCCCTCCCTCTTTTCTTTGGGGCTCCTCGTGGTCGCTTGCCCTCTACTTCGAATTCCAATGCCTTCCTTATTGGGTGGTCTTCAGGCCTCCTCAGTACGTGCCCATACCATCGCAGTCGCTGCTCTCGTGCCTTCAGCTGGATCGGAGCCGTCTGTGTGACGCCCTGACGTCCTCGTTTCTGACTCTGTCGAGTCGTGTCCAACCGCAGGCCCATCTCAGCATCCTCATTTCAGCTGAGTGGAGCTGCCTTTCATGGTTCTTGCAGATGGGCCAGCACTCACTGCCGTAGAGCATTGTAGGCCTTACCACCGCCCGGTACACCTTGCCCTTGAGCGTTCTCGAGCACCGCCGGTCGCACAGGATGCCAGTGGACTCCCTCCATTTCATCCAGGCTGCGTTGATTCGGGTCTTCACCGCCTGGTCCACGCTGCCATCAGCTGCTAGGTCGCTCCCCAGGTACTGGAACTCCTCTGATGCACCCTTTTGATGCTTTCGCTATGGCGGTCTGCACTATTCGGAGCTAAATAACTTGGTGTTCTTCACGTTCAGCCAGAGTCCACTCTCAGCGAGTACATCGTGTCACCGCTGCACCTTATCCTAGAGTTCTTCACTGCTATCTCCTATAAGTGCATCGACGTAGAGGATGGTTTTCAGTTGTCCCTCCTTGAGTTCTTTTGCCATGACATCCACAACGGGGGACACAGCATCAGCTAGGCGTTGGTTCCAGCACGGCGGGTGACAAGAAGTGATACTAGCTGATAGGGGCTGA